CTAAATTTAATACAAAAAACTTAATCACCCACAATAAGTCTTCTTAATCAACCAATGTTTAGCAAAAGACCCACATTGTATATCAATTTAAATGTCCTTTGGGAGATTGTGTCACTGACAAAAAAGTTGATATATATGTCGGTTTCACGACAACAAAATTATCGAGGAGACTTACACTACACATGTCAGATTCACGTTCCTTAGCCCAACTTTTAAAGGAACATTCCTGTCAACATTCGCAATATAAAGCAATATTAATTGGTAATACAAGAACACTTAAACTTTAAAATAAAATCAAAAATTTCAAATTCTTGAAGCACCCTCTATAAGAAAAAATGCAACAAGCACTAAAGAAAGTTAATTATAAGTATCGCAACAATGTTTTGAACACTTGAATTGTATTTTTTTTTTTGAATTGACAATCGTATAAGTCCAAATTTGCCTGCTTTACGTAACACAACAATTTTAGGGTTCATTTTTTAATTGGTTATAGCGGAGCGCGTTCAGATGTGCTTATAATTATAACAGAGAACATTTCATGCGCATTTACAAAAATATCGCAACTTTCAATTACATTAATTTTTTGTCTTAGCTGTTTACCCCTGAAGATGACCTTGGATGAGATTGAAAGTATTTGGGAAAATAAAAGTAAAAAAAACAAAAAAAAACACGGCGCCTTTCTTAATGAATTTAATAACAATATTAAGAAATTGATCCGTGGATTTGAGAGGATTAAAATAAAAACAAATAGACATAATATATTCAGATTATTCAAGCAAACATGCTTAAATGAAAATATGCTGCTGAATGAATATATATATATATATATATATATATATATATATATATATATATATATATATATATATGTATGTATAATTATTTATTTAAAAATATGATTCCAACGCAACATAAGAGTTCTCAATAACAAAAATACTAAAGAACTTTGGGTTATTTACCTAACGAGTTCTTTCCTATTTTCTATATATTCTTACACACACACACACACACACACACACACACACACACACATATATATATATATATATATATATAATCTGAAGTTAGGAAATTGTCTACTGGTTATTATTTTTCAACATAAAGGCTCCAGACAAGAATATTGTATTGTTGGAAAATTCACCCACTGTAATGATGGCATAAAACAAAGTCGGAAAAAATAATAAAAGTTAAACAGACAGATTTCATATATATATATATATATATATATATATATATATATATATGTAAAATGAGAACAAATGGTGTAAAATACAATTTTCCGTAACGATTAATTTAAAAGAGGGTTTAATATAGAGTACAACTAAATATTATTTATCTTAGGATATTAAAACCAAAACATGGTTAAAATCACTACACAATTGCCATTATGTTTCAACAGTACAAATGTGTCTGATGCGGCGCTGCTAAACTACTGCGAGTGAAAGATTATTTTAATTTCAAAAGCAGAATATTTCCTCTTTTTTTCTCAAGAAAAAAAAAAAATTAAAAATACGCCTATGGGTTTTACCGTGATTAACCAATGGAATGTGACCTACGCTGAATTTAAACTCACCGATTTTTTTTTATTACATAGGTCATGACACGAAGTTGTCTACATATAAATCCTATATACTTTTTTGTCAGAGATACAATCTCCCAAAGGACATTTAGATTGTTATATACTGTTGGTCTTTTGCTAAACATTAATTGATGGAGAAAACTTATTGCGGAAAATTGGTGTTTTGGATTAGCATTATTTTATCTATTTTTTATTTATCAACTACAAAATTTTATCTAGGTAGCTGGCCGAGTATATAAATAGTTAGCATTTTGTTAAATTACCCCCCCTACCTCTTTAGCTTTTACTTCCTAGGAAAGTTGAACGCATGACTTCTATGCACCTTACGAAATAATGTAACCATTTGTATCTGTCCATAATGAAATCGTGGAGGATTTATATGTAGACAACTTGGTGTCATGGCTTATGTAATAAAAAAAATCGGTGAGTTTAAATTTAGCGTAGGTCACATTCGATTGGTTAATCATGGTAAAGCTCATAAGCCTATTTTTAATTCTGTTTTTTTTTTTCGAAAAAAGTATAAGTATTCTGAAATAAAAATAATCGTTCACACGGCCGTAGTTTACCATCGCCTGAGGAGACACATTTGTAGTGTTGAAGCATAAGGGCAATTGTGTAGCGATTTTTAACATTTTTTTTGTTTTGATATTCTAAAATAAATAATCATATATATATATATATATATATATATGACCGACCAAGACTGCCAGTTTCATGAGCTTTCACGGAATCAGCAGGGCTCGCCTAATGATTGCCTTAAAGCGCATGAGGCTGGCAGTCGTGATCGGTCACTGACCACCAGAAAATTTGACTGAAAATATATTAAAGCTATGCCAATTATATTGAGCACTCTTTTACTTGTGTGCAATTTTAGGCAAACTCTTTTTGAAGCTGCTTATCCTTATCTCTAACTATATATATATATATATATATATATATATATATATATATATATATATATATATATATATATCATTAGAGATATTAAGGATATATAAACTTTTGAGAAAAATTATAATGATATATAAACGTTTGATAATTTTTTTTTTTATCAAAGGGTTTTTTAGTATTGACAAGTTCAGGGAATTTCTCGAGGAGAAAATGGCCATAAAAATGGGGTATAATTGACTTACATTTTTATGTAATTTATATATATATATATATATATATATATATATATATATATATATATATATATATTACCGATCAAATTTTGGGACTACCTTATTTTAACTTCATAAAAAATTCATAAAGATTCATTCTGGTTGCCGCATTATTGGACAAAATGCTTTTTTTTGCAATAAGTTCGTGATCCGAAACAGCTCAAAATTATGCACAATTGATCTAAAATCGAAGAAAGATAATGAAACTTTATAAATTATGACATGTCCCCTGCCCACCATTTTGCAGATCTTTCATCAACCGAACTAGTCGGGGACGATATGGATAGTGAATTTCGAAGTAAACTGCCTAACAATAAGCAAGAGTCTTTGGCACATTTACACAGTGCTTGGGAATCACTTCCATCAACAGACTTTTACAAGTTCCAAGAATGTCAAGAATTTGCCCTGCAGTAATAAATGCTTGTGGTGGATTCTTTGATGAAAAGAAAATATAAATTTGCTTTAATTGAAATTCTAAGTATTTTATATTTATTTTATTTTAAATTATTGCATAACTGCATGCAAACATAGAAAAATGAATTTATTTCCTTAAAGATTCATTTTAGGGAAAAATCAATGTAGTCCCAAACATTTGGTCAGTATATATATATATATATATATATATATATATATATATATATATATATATAAAGATATTTTATGTTTATACATTCTTTTATAGATACAAATATTTAAGTAAATGCTCTGTTTATAATAAACAGTATTAAACAACATTTACTGGCTTGAACGTCCGAGAATTTTCACAGAAAATATTTGTCCTCCGACAGGATTCGAACCTGTATCCTATTCGGAGGACCAATATTTTCTGTGATAATTTCTCGAACATTCAGTACTGTTTATTTTAAACACTGCATTTACTTAAATATTTGTATCTATAAAAAGAATCTATAAACATAAAAAATGTCTTAATATAATTGTGTGTATATATATATATATATATATATATATATATATATATATATATGTATATAACTTGATGATTGGTAGGGATAATTCCAAGGAGGATATAAATCCAAAGAGAGCTCAATGTAAGAGCTGAGCAATTTAATAATGAATACACAATCCTTAAAAATCCATCAGGTCAGGTTATAACTTATTTCGCGCACTTCAAATCTTTCATCTTTTCTGATAAGTTTTACATAAATAGAGTTCAATTTATTCAGGCACAAAAGCTTATAGAGAAATCTCTATCTTTCCTTGTCTGAATAAATTGAACTTAAATTTATTTATGTAAAACTGTTCTGAAAAGGTGAACGTTTGAATACACGAAATAAATTATAACCTGACTTGATGGATTTTTAAGGATTATTTATATATATATATATATATATATTTAAAGATATTTTTTCGATCCCGCTCTTCAGGCTTCAACGGGAGATTTAAAATTAACACAGATAAATGTACAATAAAAGGAAGTTGTGAAAGAAAAAAAAATTAGAAAAAGGGACTAGAGGCAAAGTCCCAACAAACAATCACGTTGTTTACACAAAGAAGGCTTACGGGACCCGATGTAAAGTGCCTCCAGAACCTTTAGATGAAATAAGGAGTGAGACCGGGACAACACGGTGAACCAGTCAACACTAAATTTGGCTGCACAATCTCTCTTCTTTAATAGGTGTTCGCATACTATTTTTTTTTCTTGCACAACTTCCTTTTATTGTACATTTATCTGTGTTAATTTTAAATCTCCCGTTGAAGCCTGTCTCGGGAGGAAACCGGTTTTTCGCCTGTTTTAATATGTCTCGTAATATTAAGTTTTTACTTTTATTTATATTTTATATATATATATATATATATATATATATATTGATTATAATTGTGTGCCTGTGTGCTCACGTTTGTTTATGTGTATATTGGGTATGATTAAATAATGGATAAGTACAAAAACTTTATAAATTATGATGTTTCATTGATAATTTACCTTCAGAAAATTTTGTGGATTGGAATAATGTCGAATTGTTTCGGCCTTTAAGTTCTATGTTGTTTTAACCGAAACGAGACCCCGTGGAATGACGGGCTCCAAGAAATTATTATTGATATTATTCTATTTCCACGAAACTTGCTGACGATGCTAAAATCAACAGAAACAACATATTAAATTCTTAAAGTTTTTCTCCTTGCTTCTTATTTAATTTTTCTCTTGGATTTAATCCATGTTTTTAGCTTATATTTATGTATATAAGCCTTTAATTTCAATAAAAAAAAAGAAACCTTTTCCTTATGGAATTGATGATTTCTCACTGGTCATTGGTCTGCTGCACGGAATTCCAAGATGAAGAAACATCACGTGAGGACGGAATTCTTCTGGTCACTTTCGAGGGGACAGTCAGACTCGAAGCGGTGAGCATGGGACCCCTGTCAATCTTTACAGTCTCAGCGCTATGATAGGGTCGCAAAGATTGCAGCTTGTTTGAACTATGCAATATCTCGCGACCGGACGCACCCGCTTTCAGAGTGGACAAGCTGAGGGAACGCTGGTTGCACTTAACCCTGAACCTTGGTGAAGCCTGCAAAGAAGTCGACGGCGATTTGACCTCTTCCGTGTCACTGTCTCCAAAATCCGACCTCTCCGCTTTCTCTTTTTCTTTCTCTTTCTCTTTTACTTTCCCTTCTTCGGTATTGTCGTCGTCGATCACGTTATCTTCTCGTTCGTCGTTCCGGGTGTCGTAAGATCCACCTTCTGCGCCTCGGTCTGAGAACTGTATTTTTGAGACCGATATCATGGCGACTGCCGAGTCTTCCGGTTTGTTGCTATCCGAACAGGACACGTCCGGTGTTGTGGATAGAAGTCTATAGCCGCCTTGACGTTGAGTCAAAGACGGTAGGACTTTTTTTGGTAGTGTCATTGGACTTCCTGATGCTGAAGCGGCTGCAACTTCATCCGGTGGGATGTCGTTGTCGTCTGCTTCAGTTATCTTGACCCTAGGAATAAAATTTTCTTGTTTCTCCTCTTCTGGTACAATAGACAATCCAGATTTACCCTTGAGACGCTGGTGTGCCGGTGCCCATTTTGGGGAATATACTGTGTGATAACATGACTGCGGGCAACCCCGGCGAGGATTCATTTTGTAAGAGTCGTTGTTCATCCCACGTTTCTGGCTCTTAAGATCTCGAAACATTGTCAATAAACGAGTTTGGCACACATCATTATTCTCCCCACCTGAAGTTGTGACCCCGGCATTATTACCATTAGCCCCTCCATTGCTACTACTACAAAACGCCGCATACTGCGACTCGGTTGCTGATTTGGAAACTGAACTACAGCCACCATTGCTGCTACCGCCGCCGCTGCTGCTACTGCAACTTCCGTTGCTCGCTGCGCCGTTTACTCCAGCTGTGACACCTGCGCAGCCGCTTCCTGTACAAATCCCTGTTGGTAAGAAATCATCATAAGTTCCCTGGCTCGTACTCGGGATTTCAGAAGTAGTATGCAGTATTTCAAGAGGTATCATCACTGTATTAGATTCGTCCGAGCGAGAGCAAGGCTGTTGGAAAATGTGAACGCGGTTTATCAGGCGTTCGTCTTCAATTGAACACGCTCCCGTATTTCCGTTTCCGCTAATCTCAGCTTCTGACTGGCAGGAGCCGGATGTATCTTTGTAACGGCACAGTATCTGCTCAATGCTGTCCGCCTTTCGTCCATTCAGCACGATATCGGGTGCTGTTTGTTTGCCCGAATGAATGTCCGCTGGAGTTTTTTCATCGTCGCCGGAATACAGTTTAAGACATTCCTCACAGATGGGACAGAAGCATTTCTTTGTTAAACTCTCATAGCTGTTGTCTTTAACATTAAGACTGAATTTGCTGCTAGCGACATGCTCGCTGTCTGGACGTTTCTCCAGCCAGAAAAGCTTCATCAACGATGCCAAACGACCCGACCCCCACGAAGCTGGCTGATGGCGGTTTCCATGGCGGCCGTAGCCCTGATTAATGGTCGACTCTTCGAGGCGACGACAAAAATTGGCGCAGTCTCTCTTGAACTGTTTTGTGAAAATGGCGTATAAAAAAGGATTGGCACAGCTGTTAAGGGGTAAAACGAAAATCGTGAAAAATTTTGCCTCTTCTAAGGAGATTAATTCCTTGCCAAACATGGCCGTCAGAGATAAGATAGTAATTGGCATCCAACAGAGAAAGTCGGTGAAGATAAGAAGTGACATTCGCTTGGCCACGCGTACATCCGGGGAGTTCCAGGCCTGAGAGTCCCGGATGTCACAGTACATCTTTAAATAGCAGGACATGATCACTAGGAAGGATGTTCCATTGAATGTCATGATGAAACAGACGTACACTGAAAAGAAATAAGAAGAAAGTTTTAGTAAATTAAAACAGTCGTTCATTACATATAAACCATAAATATCCCTACATATAAAACACATACACACACACTCTCTCTCCCTCTCTCTCTCTCTCTCTCTCTCTCTGTGTTTCACTCTCTTTATAATAATGGCTGGCCACTCGTAGAAAGAATGAAGAAGAAAGAGGGAAAGCGAAGAAAGAAAGAAGACATTGGGGTATAACGAAAGAGAGAATAAACAGTAGAGGAAGGAATAAAGAAAGATGGAAGAAGAATTTGGGGGGAGGGAATAAAAACTGAGGAAAGAAGAAGACGGGGAGGGATTGAAGGAAGAGGGGAAAAGAAGGCTAGGAGAAGAAAAAGAACGAGGAAAAGGAAAGGGGAGGAGAGCGAAGAAAAGGGAGAGAAGTAGGCTAGGAAGGAAAACACACACATTCTCTCTCCCCCTTTCTCTCTGTCTCTCTCTCTCTCTCTGTTTCCCTCTCTTTATAATAATGCCTGTCCACTCGTATTCGAGGATACCCGTCTATTACGGCAGCTAGCTAATCCCTATTGCAGACCTTTTCTCAGGCGCATTTTTGTGTTTGTTCAACACCCACAGAGACTGCTTGTGGTTTATACCGCAACCATGCTATTACATTTTCTGGAAGAGAGCGGGATTTAACAATGCAAACACGGCCAGCACGCTAAAACACTCGATCACGATGACTTGCTACTTTGTGCTAGACTTGGGTATGGTTTTGAATTAATGTAGTTAAGCAACGTTTAATTCAGTTAAAATAGGAACCCTAAACATCTATATATTTATGTCACAGAGTTACAATGATATTTAGGCCTTTATGATAAAACTCTAAAAGTTTGTACACAGAAAAATCTTTGAATGCATTTTCGATATCTTCTTTGGAACGGAATATCTTTCAGTTTAAAAAATTGAAATGTTTGAAAAAGTGGTCGTCTGTGAACATGAGATAAAGGAAATTATGGTGGATGGGACAAAGTCTCGTATCCTCATTGGGTGGGATTCTATAAGGTTGTTCGTCAAATAATGGCCGCTTTTAGAATCAACTCCCATTCCTGTATTTAAACAGTGTTTATACTGGTCAAAATAGGAACCCTGAACATCTATATATTTCTACCGTAGACTTGTTTAGAAAATAATGTCCTCTTTTAGAATGAACTCTCTTCCTGTATTTAAACAGTGTTTAAACTGGTCAAAACAGGAACCCTGAACATCTATATATTTCTACCGTAGACTTGTTTGGCAAATAATATCCTCTTTTAGAATGAACCCTCTTCTTGTATTTAAACAGTGTTTAAACTGGTCAAAATAGGAACCCTGAACATCTCTATATTTCTACCGTAGACTTGTTTGGCAAATAATGTCCTCTTTTAGAATCAACTTCTATTTCTATATTTAAACAATGTTTAAACTGATCAAAATAGGAACCCTGAACATCTATAGATTTCTGCCTTCGGGTTATGCCTTTACGACGAAAATCTAAAGCTTTTGACGCTAAATGCAAATTCCGCACCTTCTTTGCAACGGAATGTCTTCCAGCTTAAAAACTGTCAAGCTGCTTGGAGAAGTTGTCGTCAGTGGGCGATAGATCAAGGAATATTTTAGGTGTGGCAAAGTTTCGTATCCCAATTCTGCAGTATTATCCTGACATAGCCATGAAGCAGAATTGTACCTCTTCGATTAACCAGTGCCAGTCAAATTTTGCTTAAGTGATTCTGCATTTTCATCCAGTTAGTGACAATATACTTTGTCAGTGATATTCTGATAAGATTCCCGAAAGCCAATAAATAAACAAACGCCATGACAGACTTCCAGACAGAAACCATAATGAAGCCTTAGAAATTCTACAAAACTAGCTAACCATGTGTCAAAATTAAAGAAGAAAAATAAAAATGATCCACTTGTAAACTAGAATATTTTTAAAAAAGCTAATCTTTACAACGATCGGCACCTTCTTTCCACCATGGGATTCTATTTGGTTGTTCGGCAAATAATGTCCGCTTTTAGAAACAACTGCCATTACTGGATTTAAACAATGTTTAAACTGCTAAGAAGCCTTAGCAATTCTACAAAACTAACCAACATGTGTGAAAATTCAAGAAGAAAAGTAAAAAAGATCCGCATGTAAACAAGGAAATTTTTAAAAAAGCTTAACTTTACAACGATCTGCACATTCCTTTCCATCGTGAGATTCTATTAGGTTTTTCAGCAAATAATGTCCGCTTTTAGAATCAATTTCTATTCCTGTATTTAAACAGTGTTTAAATCAGTCAAAATAGGAACCTTGAGCATCTATTTTTTTCTGACTCTGATTTACAAGGTTATTTTGGCCTTTAAAGGTTTGGACATCAAAAAATCTTTGAATGCACTTTCTACACCTTCTTTGCGAAGGAACATCTTTCTGACTTAATAAAGATACAACAAGTATAGTTACCCAGCAATCAGAGAAAAATGTAATTGTGCTCATTGGATGGAGAGAAATCTACGCAAGATATGAGAAGTACGCGCAGGATTATAATTTTTTACAATTCCCATATTTTATGGCTAACGGGAATTTGATCTACATATTTGTTTGTTCCTTTTGTTATTCCCCCCAAAGGAATAACAACAGGTATTGTTGTTGTCTTGAGATGTTCCATTCTACTGGTTTAATCCTTGAGGCCATTGTTCGGAAAATAATGTCCGTTGTCAGAATTAACTTTCATTTCTGAATTAATGTATTTAAACAGTATTTAAACCGGTAGAAATATGAACCCTGAATATATTTCTGCCACAGGGTTACAAATTTATTTATGCCTTTATGATAAATCTCTAAAGGTTTGGACACCGACAAATCTTTGAATGCTTTTTCTACACCTTCTTTGCAACGGAATATCTTTCGGTTTAAAAAATTGAAGTGCTTGTAAAAGTGGTAGAGTCTGTGAGCGTGTGATAAAGGGTATCATGTTGGATGTGGCTGTCTCGTATTCACATCGGGTGGGCTTCTGTCAGGTTGTTCGGCAAATAATGTCCGCTTTTAGAACCGACTCCTATTCCTGTATTTAAACAATGTTTAAATCAGTCCCCAGGAAAGTTTTCTCCCCGGAATCGATACTTCAAATATACAAATCAACCATTCGCCCTTACATGGAGTATTGCTGCCATATATAGTCCGGGGCACCTTCTGTTTACCTCGGAATTCTTGACAAGATCCAGAGACGGATATGTAATATAATTGTCCTTGATCTGGCATCTCGTCTACAATCACTCTCTCACAGACGCGCCGTCGCCTCTCTCTGTCTTTTCTACAAATACTTTCATGGTAATTGCTCCGATGAGCTGCTTTCGCTGGGTCCCAGACTCCATGAATTTAAGCGCCCTATGAGGCTGGCATCCCGCTCTCACCCTTACACAATAGAAACTTTTAAATGTAGTCGTCTCTTCTACTCCAATAGCTTCACACCTCGCACCTCTCGCCTGTGGAACACCCTTCCCAATTACTGTTTCCCTGAGAACTATAATCTCCAACTATTCAAATGTAATGTCAATCGACATCTCTAGTTACCTTGATCTATCCACTATCCCTCTCCTCATTCTTCCTTCTATCACTCCTAACTGCTCTCGCTCCAAATCTTCTGAAACCCCCGCATCATAGTGGCTTCACGCCTTGCTCGGGGCGTGATGCTTAAAAAAAAAGTCAAAATAGGAGCCCTGAACCTCAATATATTTCTGAAAGCCCGAGAGATGATAATGGCGAACCGATAAGTTTTCATCGATGAGGTAGTATGTTTTCGGCAGATTATACATGATTCAGCCAATGAAATGATGGGTATCAAGAGTGCTTTCCACAGTGCACATGCGCAAACGTGCTGCTTACGTTTACTTGAACGCTACAACAATGAAGTCGAAAGATTTTTGAACCGAATACTAACAGGAAATGAAATGGGAAGCCATCACTATGAGTAAGAATCCGAAAGAAAGAGTATGGAGTGGAAATTCAAATCTTAATCTTCAGCATAAAAGATGATGCTATCTGTTTTGGGAATTCAAGAAGGCATACGCTGGAAGACTTCCTGGAAAGAGGTGTACAATCAAGAGTGTTTTGTGATATAAGACTCTTACTCGTTGTTACTTTCGTGATGTCAACAAATGCTCGTAATTCTCGTTGAAAGCGAAGAATGTTAGAAAGGAAAAAAAGGACGAGGAAAAGGAAAGAAGGGGAAAGAGAGAGAAGAAAGAGGAGAGAAGTGATATTTAGCTACCCCACTGAGGGTTACATATGGTACAAGGCCGGGTTTAACGTGGGATTTACGAGCCCGTAGGCTCGGCCTAAAATATTCCCTCTTTGAACCCACATAAACGGGTTCAGGGGCAGTCAACCGCCCCGAACAAGACTCTGCAGAGAGTTAGACTGTTACTTAGCCCGGCGCCAATTTGAAAGAGGAGAGAAGTAGGTTAGAAAAGAATAAGAATGAGGGAAGAAGAAGACTGGGTGGGTATAAAAAAAAGAGAAGAATAAAGAGGGGAATTTTGTGATGTCACACGTCTTCGTCGTTGTGACTTTTATGATGTCAACGAATGCTCGTTATCACGTTCGTAATTCTCGTTGTAGTCGAGATTTTGAAATCGCAGATATTAGTAGTAAATCCTACGAATAATACTAGCACTAGTAATAATTGTTCGAATAGTAACCGCCAAATCGTAATCCGTAGAGTGATTAGTATAGAGAAATACTATAGAGGATAGTATATCAGTTAGACGCCACGCTAATTCCCATATATACCTTTCCATGGTGGGGGGGGGTACTTCGAGGCGATGTAATGGTTAGCAAGCTTCTCTCCCTAGAACAATTACGACTGAGTAATGAATTCGATCCTCACTGGGCGCCTCGTGCTTTCTTGGAAAATCCCTATATGCCTTACGCTTGGAAAATCCCTATATGCCTTTTCTTTACGATCACGCGGTCTACTCATTAGAAATCGAATCACCTGTGTTTGCTCACTGGGGATCTGTGTTCAAACTCCAGTGTCGGCAACGAGACCTTA